TCATATATCATTTTCCTAATTTCTTTCAGTTCTTTGTCTCTGCTTTCCTTTAGCACTTTGAGCATATTTAAGATGGTGTTTTAAAGTCTTTGTTTAGTAGCTCCAATGTCTGTGCTTCCTCAGGGATGGTTGCTGCCATTTTATTTTCTCCCTTTGAATAGACTGTTTTCCTGTTTATTTGTATCACTTGTGACTTTGTTGTTATTGTTGCAAATTGGATATTTAATAAATCAGCCACCTCTCCCTATCTTTGCAGACTGGCTGTGTCAGGGCAGTTTGTCACTAATTAGCTGGGTTTGCTGTGAGACTAGGGATTATCCTTATCCTACTAAGATTAAAGTCTTCTCATGTCTTTATGAGCATGTGCATTGCCTTGGTCTGCATGTTGCTTTCTCAATACCTCTACATATAAAGCTTCTTTTGAATGTCTTAATTTCCCAAGGTCTTACACTAGCTTCTTCTTGGGGCCTTAGATGGTCTATGTTTTTATGTTTCAACTCATGATTTCCTCCTCTGGGAATCTGCAGGTCTATGGTACCCTGGCAGGTTTCACAACCAGTGGTTACACTGCTTTTTCCCACCTGAGATCCAAGTTAGGCAAGATAGAGACCAGTCCTTCTTGCAGCCTCCAAACAGGTCAGAATGTTGCAAATAAGGTCTTCTCTACTCCATCCACTTAAAGGGAAGAAACTGGCAACTGGACTGCCATCTCCTCCAGACCAAGACTATGCTGCACCAGGAAGGGGCTGGGTCAAGGGCCAGTAAAAATGTCATGAAATTTCCTACCATTTTGAATGTGACTTTTTCTTGATTGGGCAGTCTCTTGGTTTCTGTATACCTATAACTGTTTTCCAGAGGTCCTATAAGGTTATTTCAACCAGTTTCTGCTTTTTTCTGACATCACTTATCATTATGTTTTTAATCTGTATTTTCCTGATAATTAATGCAATTGAATTCTTTTTTCATATGTTTATAGGCCATTTGGATATCTTCTTTTATGATATGCCAGTTGTAACCTCTTTCCTTTTTTTCTATTTCTTTATCTGTCTTATTCTTTTTTACTAATATATAATTTTATTTATTTATTTATTTTCCCCCCAAAGCCCCAGTAGATAGTTGTATGTCATAGCTGCACATCCTTCCAGTTGCTATATGTGGGACACGGCCTCAGCATCGCCCGAGAAGCGGTGCGTCGGTGAGCGCCCGGGATCCGAACCCAGGCCGCCAGCGGTGGAGCGCGCACACTTAACTGCTAAGCCACAGGGCCGGCCCAATCTGTCTTATTCTTACTGATAGAGAAGTACATATAGAATATGATCCAAATATGAAGTTACTCACAAGAACATTAAAATAACTATGTTGAATATGTTTAAGAAAATAGAAAGGTGGAGAGTACACCTTTACAGATGAAGGATTTCATAAGATAATTTAAATTTTGGAAAATAATTAACTAGAAATTTTACATCTGAGGAACACAAATCTGAAATTAAGAATGCACTAGATGGTTTTAACAGTAGAGTAGACACAGCAGAAGACAGGATTGGTAAATTGGAAAAGAGATCAATAGAAAATATACAAAGAAATGCAGAGCAAATAAAAGGAAAATAAAGAAAATAGTGTTCAAGACGTGTGACACAATGAAAAGAAACAATATACATGTAAACAGAGTCAGAGAACAAGAAGAGAAGGAAGATGTGGCAGATGAAATTTAAGAGAGAATAGCCAAGAAATTTACAAAACTGGTAACAGACACCAACCTTCAGATTCAGGAAGCTCTGAATACACCAAGCAGGGAAAATGCAAAGAAACCTAGGCATGAGATAGTAAGAATGCTGAAAACCTAAGTCAAAGGGAGAAAATTAAAAGAAAACAGTGGGGAAAAAAGACATATTCCTTTCCAAGGAGCAGTAAAAAGACAACTGACTTCTTGTTAAAAAATGATGGAAGCAAGCCGTAAGACAATGGAATGACATCACTAAAGTGCAGGGGGAAAAAAAACCTGCAAAATATTCTCCAAAGGGAAAAGAAAATGAAATAATTCACACAAACAAAATCTACAAAATTTTTTTGCCATCAAACCTTCCCTAAAAGAAATAACAAGGGAATTTCTATAGGAAGAGAAAAATGATCCCAGATAAAATTACAGAAAAGAATGAAAAGCAATGGAAAAAACTATATGTGAATAAATATAAGTGAATCTTTACTGTAAAAAACAGCAATAATAGTAGCTTTTGAATAACAAATATGTAAAATTAAAATGCCTTATCATGAAAACACAACATGTCAGAGGGAGTCATTGGAATGATAAGGCTCTAGGGTCTTAGCACTATCAGGAAAGTGGTAAAAGCAATAACTTGCACTGACAGTAATTAATCAAATATGTGTGTTAATTTTTAGGATAGTTACTAAAAGAATACTCAACTTAATAGAGAATAGAAAAGGAAGAAAGGGGAACTAAAAGAGATTATTCAAATAGAAAAAGATGATGCTACAAACCCAAATATATCAGTACTTCTTTGAATACTCCAATTATAAGGCTAGATTGTCAGCCTGGAAAAAGCTAATAGAAACTATATACTATTTACAGGAAACACTTTAAATATGAATACTCAGAAAAACCTGAATGTAAAAAGATGGCAAAACACTTGCCAGGAAAACAATAATTAATAAGTAGCTGTACTATTACCAGAAAAAGTACATTTTAAGGCTAGAAGCATTAGTAGAGATAAAAGGGGGAAATGACATAGTTGATAAAGGGGTCAATCCCTCAGGAAAATGCAATTCCAAATATGTATGCACTCATGGATATATAAACTGTATAAAGCAAACTATGTGAGATAAAATTTCAAACTATATCAAAATTTTACAGGAAAAAAAGTGGGCAAAATATCAGTAATAACAGAGAGATGAGCAGCTCAATGAACAAAACTCACTTAATGACATGTAGAATAACGCCACCAATAACAAAAGGAGACACATTCTTATGAAGTACACATAAAATGTTTACCAAAATTGACCACGTGCTGGATCATAAAATATGACAACATATTTCAAACGAGTAGAATGACTCACAGTGTGATCTTTGAATGAAGTGGTATTAAGCTATGAATATGTTTTCAAACTTCTTAGAAGTCAAATAATACATTTCTAGAAAACCTCAAGATTCAAAGATATTTTAGAAATTAGGAAATATTTGGAAATTAGTGATAATGAATAAGCGATGTACTAAACTTGTGGGATGCAGCTAAAGCAATTAGATAATTAGAAGTTTTAGGGTTTTTTGTTTGTTTGCTTGGATTTTTTTAATCAATTGATTCCGATGCTACACAAGGTATGCATGCGGTGGGGAGGAAGTGTTGGTAGAGAATGGAGGAGGGAGATCACGGAGCCAGAGGCAATGCCTGCATTAGCTCCCCCAGTTAGTTCCTGTGATGACAGAAATGATTAATGATCCTCACACAGTTAGTGGTTTGCCCTTACTCTGCTAAGTGGCTGTCTGGTAAGCTGTGAGAAGAGAATAGCATTGAGCTTCTTGTCTACAGTACTGCATGTGGCAACAAAGAAAGAATATCATGCCGCCCTCTCTACCTTGGAGCTCTCTATATACATGCGTTGCTCTCCCCACCACTTCCAGCCTCTAACTCCTTTTATCTGCTCTAACTTATGTAGGATCCTAGCTCTTTCTCAGAACCAAAAAAAGGTACAATCTTCCAACCCTAAAGCCCCATGGACAATGATCGTAAGTCTTCTAATAGCCATGGAAGCCAATTAAACTGGCCTCCAAGTCCTACATCTCATTTAAAAGAAATAAACGAGTTTGCTTTACTTTTACAGCAGTGTCTCATTAGCCTTTCCCATAGGATAGAAGTGTGGCTGTGGAGAAGAAAACATGTAGAAAAGGAGAGGAAAGTAACAGGCATAAACAGACCAAAAAAAAAAAATTCTCCTGACTTTGCTTTCAATAATAAGAGTTTCGTAGTAGATAATAACAACAATAAACAAACACATAGAGACAGAGATTGGATTAGTGGTTACCAGACGGAAAAGGGGGAGGGAGGAGGGCGAAAGGGATAATTCGGCACATGTGTGTGGTGATGGGCTGTAATTAGTATTTGGGTGGTGAACATGATGTAATCTATGCAGAAATAGAAGTATAATGATGTACACCTGAAATTTATACAATGTTATAAACCAATGTTACTGCAATAAACAAAAAATTTTAAAAAAAAGTGCTTCTATAATTCTTCATTATCTATTCAATATTCAAATGTTGAAAAACTCACACACACACACAAAATTGGAATGGTCCATGGAACAACATTTTAAAATCTCTTGAGGGAAACTGGAAAAGCTGAGCATGGCTATCTCTTGTATAACAAGGAATCACAACAGATGACAAGATGGGGAAAAACTAGGAGCAGGAGAAAAATATTTGTAAAATATCTGCCTATGTTTAGTGTTAGAATGGTCTTCTAGTATGACAGGTTGCAGCCTTCCATATTTGTAGAAGCTTTGGGGCCAGTGCACGTTGGAGAGCAAGCATGTCAGAAGCCAGCTCAAGAGACACATTTCTCTTTCAGCAGACAAGAACATTTTATTTTTAAAAAAGAATGTAACAGAGAAAATTTCCCTTATGAGGCATACTCCACAATGTATTCTCTGACATAATGAGGCAAAGTATTTTCATCTTTCTTGAGAGAGAGATTTAGGTTAACATCAGCCAAGTAGAAATTTTCAGGGGTGTACCAGAGAATGAGCCCTCAAAAGACTTTGTCTAACACTCACCAGTAGTGAGCAGCAGGAAATGAAGAAGACGATGAAGTCCCACAACAGAGCAGAGAGCCAGAAATTAAGGGCATAGACCCCACTCACAAACTGGATGTGCTTTGCTTTAGTGATTCTCTCGGTCACCGTCAGGAGACAAAAGCCACTGACCAAAATACTCATACCGAAAAACAAATTCAAGGCTACATGGATTCCCAACATTCTTCTACAAAAGAATGAATAAAGAAGACACATTAGTAAAACAACAAAGTGGCAAATACCAATTTCTAACAGTAACTTTTAATTATTATTTATTTATTATAAATTATATGTATTAGTATTATTATTTTATTATTATTAACTTCTAAAATTAACTTTTTATTAAGAATATGGTCAGACGAGGAAGAAGAAATGCATTTAAAGCACAAAGTTCAATTCCAATAGAAAAGCATCCGTACCTTTGATCAGATTTACCAGTACTAATCTTTCGAGGCTGGGGTTTGTTGGAGACTGTAATGGAAGCATCAGGGCCAGAAAGTGACTTATAAATAATATTGTCTAACACTGCCAGGGATAATGACGGTGAATGGTATGCCTCATTGTTAAACCAAAAGGTAACTGTCTTTTTGTCTCCGACGACCTCAACGGAAAGTGCAATAATGCATGAGTAAATGCATTCTTTGCTTTCTGCCAAGTAGTCCTGCAGGTCACCTGGAACGAGAAAACAAGACTGGTTACAGACTCAGCATGCAATACAGATCACTTACTATGTATTTTGGAGAGGGAGACTTTACTTGCCTGACATTTTTTCCCATTTTCATCATCTCACAACTCTGATACATCTTGGCCATTCAACTCAAGAACCTTATTCTATTAATAATCCACAAACGTCACAGCTTTTAGCTCAATTTCACTAAGAAAAATATAGGCCATCAGGTATTAATTCCCTCAAATTATTTTTCCACTCTCAAAACTGTCAGTCTCAGGACTTCCACTTCTCACTTTGACAGATTAGCTTACAGAAAACCAAACCCTTGTTAAGAAAAACTAGAAAGGCTGAATAAGAAACACAAAATAAATCTGCTTGAAGGAATCAGAAGATTACTAAGGCAAGTATGTTTCAAAAGTATAAAGATCTGAGAGAAAAAAGGAAACATGCACCAAGTCCAGCATTCTATACTGCTTTTCTCCTGCATACAGTTGTAGAAACATAAGCAGCAGGTCCCTAATCTAAGTGGCTGATCAAACAAATAAACCCTTTCAGGAGGAGGATAATATTATCTAAAGCATTCATAGTCTTTTTAACACAATGTTCAGCATTCACTAAAACTTATTGGACATACTAGTAAATGGTATCAAGAGAAAAAATAAATAATAAAAACACACCAACAGGTGATCTGGGCACAAGGAATTAAAATAACTATAATTAGTATGTTAGCAAAAATCAAGGTAAAGAGATACACCAAAAACCCTGAATCAACAAAAAGTAACAAATGGAAGTTCTAGAAATGACAAAAACTCAACTGAGTTTAAAAACTCAATTGATGGTTTAATAGAAGATTGCACATAATTAGAGGGGAGTGACTGAACTAGAAGTTATCTCAGTAGATAATGTCTAGACTGAAGCAAAGAGAAAAAGAGATACAAAACACAGTAAACAATATAAGAGATATTTGGGAAATAGTATAAAAAGCCTAAATATCTGTTACTGGAATCCTAGAAAGAGAGGAAAGAAAGAATTGGGGAGAAGCAAAACATGAGGATATAAGGTCTGATAAATTCCCTAAAGAGATAACAAATGTAAAGCCCAGACTGAGAAACACCACACACCTCAAGCAGGATACATAGAAAGAAAATCACGCCCAGGTATATCATAACAAACCTCACGGAAACCAAATACAAATACAAAAAAAGGACACTTTTATTTGAAAGAAGCAACAATAAGTACGACAGCTGCCTTCTTAAAAGAAATTACAGAAGACAGAAGAACATTAAATGACATCTTTAAAGTGCTGAAAGAAAATAACTATAAACCTAGAATGCTATCCTAGCTAAAAATATACTTTAGAAAAATATATGTATAGAAACACCAAAAACTGAGAGAGTCTTTATTGCCAGAAGTCTTAGACTAAAAGAAATACTAATGGTAGCTCTTCAGATAAGAGGAGAATGATATCAGACAGGAGCTTGAAAATGCAGTAAGAAATAAGGGGCTACCACAAATGTGAATGTGTGGATATACCTAAATGAATATTGACTATACAGAACAACAATAAGGATTTTCTTGTGGAATTAAAATTTTATGCATAATTCAAACACATGATGAGAATAACACAAAAGGCTGGAGGGATAAATGGAACTAAAGTGCTCTAAGATATTTGCTTTGTCTAGGAAATGATAAAAGTACTAGTTTCTATTAGACTCAGGTAAGTCAAAAGGATGCATATTGTAATCTCGGGGCAAGCACTAAAAGAGTAGTAAAAGAGAAATAACAAAAAGGAAACAGAGAGAAAAATGGAATAAGAAGGAAGAGGGTAAAGCACAAATATCATGTGGGGCAGAAAGAAAACAGCAGTATGGTAGACATAAACTCAAACATACCAATAGTTACAATAAATGCAATTTAATACTTGTTGAAAACGTTCAGTGCATATTCTCTAACCTAGTCGAACAAGGGGTCGAGTAAGATTCTATCAGACTGACCCATCTGCAGATTACAGCTATAAGCTCTGGTCAAAATACAAAACCAATTACCTGATAGCACTGCAGAGCACATGCAGATGTGAGAAAATAGTTGATGCTGAAAGGAAGGAACACGGGATAAAATTCGCATTTTGCTGCTTTTATCCTGGGGCAGGGCTTAGTCAGCATACATGTGGGGTTGGCTCACGCGCCTGTGAAAAACGTGGTCTTTTTGGACTGGGAATCAGAGAAAAATTTTGAGGCATCTGTGGCCGCTGGAGGAAGGGGCCAGAATCCTACAACGCAAAAACTCAGAAAGAGGCACCCTAAAGTCTGCCCAAATCTTTGGCTGCCACTGAAACGTGCCTGTATGAAAAAGGCTCATAGCAGATGAGCTAAGGAAAAAATGTTCTGAACTAAGACTAGCACCGCCCCTCACACACACAATTTGCCTTTTGAGTGGAACAAACTTGATTGCTTGCTAAAACAGAGAAATATAAGATACTCCAGAGTAGCCACAAATTATCATTTATAATGCCCAGTCTATAGGCCACATTTACTCAAAATGCAAAGATCCAGGGGAAAACGAACTACTGCCAAAAGAAAAGACAATCAACAGAAACCAACCCCAAGATTATCCAGATGTTGGAGTTAGCACACTAGGATTTTAAAACAGCTATAACTATCCTCAATGATGAAATAAATGTTTGTAATACATAAAAATATAGGATATAGATGAGAAAAAAGTGGAAATTCCAGAAGGAAAAAATAAAACAGTATGTGAAATTAAAAAATTTCACCGCATGGTCTTAGAAGAATGGAGATGACAAAGGAGAGATACAATGACCTTGAAAACAAGTCAGTAGAATTAATCAATCAAAGAATAAAAAGAAAAAAAGATTAAAAAATAAATAGGGCCTTGGGGACCCGGTGGATAATATAAAAAACCTAATACGCATGTAACTGAGCTTCTTAAAAAAAAAAAAAAAAGGAGAGGTAAAATGGAACAGTAAATATATTTCAAAAAGTAATGTGTGAAAATTTCTTGAACTTGATGAAAAACAAATTCATAAATTAAAAAACAACCTCAGCAATTCCCATGCAGGATAAATATAAAAAGACCACCTCTAAGAATATTATAATCTAAGTACTGAACAACAAAGATAAAGGGCAAATTCTGAAAAAAATCAAAGAAAAATGACAATACTTTCAGTAGAACAAGAATGTGAATGACCAAATTTCTATGGAGCCCAGAAATAAATGGGATAATATCTTTAAAGTGCTGAGGAGGAAAAAAAGAACTATTAACCAAGAACTCTATATACAGTGAAAATTTTGTTCAAGAATGAAGGCAGAGTGGCAGAAAAAATGGCAACACGGAAGAACCTGTCCCCCAACAAAGATTAACAACTCAATAGCTATCCACTAACGAAAACAGCTCCAGAGACCTCTTAGACTCCACTTAGGAAGTTTTAGCAACACTGTGGAACAAAAATCTGAGAATAATCACACAAGTAGAAAAGGAAGACAATTTCCTTTTGCCTGCATCATTCCATCCCCCAAGCTGCCATTGTTCAGCACCAGAAAGGAACTTCTCAGCTAGAAACGTTCCTCTTGGCAGAAAAGGAAGAGCAACGTGAGCGAAGAGCTTCTCCAGCCTTGCAGGGCGCTGTGTGAAGGTACTGCCTCAGTTTCACCCCACCCAGAGTGGGATAAAGTGAAATAAGTGAAACTTATTGAGCGGGCTAGGAACAAGGAAGAAAAACAGGGGCTATTATTTGCAGACAGGCAGTAGGAGCGATTGTGGGTTCAGAGACCTGCTCTGCAGAAAACACAGCAGCTTTCACCACTGACGAATATAACAGCCAAGAGGGCCCCCTCAGACCCCTGCAGATCTTGCCACAGGTATTTGCGTTCGCTAATGCCAGCCACCTCAGTCCTTCCTGCTTGCCCCCCACTTCCTGCCCTGCTGGAGCCCCTTCCCACACCAGTAGCCATCCAAGGTCTCTCTGTGGCTGAGCAAGTGTAAGATACCAGCCATGTGAATCCTTCCTGACTCCTAGCAGAGCCCGGAAGCCACGCTGGCAGCCAGTTCGGCTTCTACAGTTGCAAGAGCGCAAGACACCAGCTGAGACCCCTCTGGCTGACCCCCATATTCATGCTCACACTCAGGGCTAGCCCCTCCAGCTGTGCACCTAAATGATACCAGCCTAACTCCCATCATTAGCCTCCACTGCAGCACCCACGCAAGGGGGAGAGAGTGTGCAGCCAAGGATGAAGGCATGGACAGCCAAAGCTCCCTGCAGCTGCTTGTTGACTCAGATCAGGCCCTGCCTTCTGTCACTAGCCAGTACCATGGAGCCCACCTGTAGCTAGTCCCTTCAGCAGTGTGCCTGCATGCCCTCTAGCCTGACCCCTGTCGCCAGCTTCCACAGCAGTGTGCACCTCCAGGGGTACAGTATGCAGCCATAGGAGAGCATGCTGATAGCTAGGAACTCTGCAGCTGCCAGTTGTTCCCAACTCTTGCTACCTGCCCTGGCCCCCATCACTCTGCATATGTCTGCAACTGGCCTCTGCCACTACATAGGTATCTGCAGGTAACCCTGCAGCTGAGTGTCTGCACACCACTGGCTCTGGCCACGACTGCTGTCTGCTCTGGTCCCTAGCTACCAGACCTGAAGGTACCAGGTACCACTTAACGACCCCAACAGCCCTTGTAGCCAGTGCAGACCCCCCACAGTGCTTGCCAAGTACCACACAGTTATTGATGCTGTGGACCCCAGTGACATGAGCTGAAGAGATATCACACACCCACAAAGCCAGTGCTGCCGTGCACCCCCACACTTGACCCAGGGCCACAGCACAATCGAGCATGGCCCCATCTGCAGGTTAAAGGCTTCCCTTACCAAAGTCAGTCCATATAATCTGGGAGAGACTTCTTCAAAAAAACCTATGCAAGGCTACCAGGATCATGAAGAATCAGGGAAACATGTCTCCACCAAACGAATACCGTAAACATCCAGTAGCTG